CCGCAGTTGGCGTCCCGGACCAGGTGGCTTAAAACTCACGCCGGGTGCGTGTGCATGCGTGCCCAAGATCCCGAGAGGAGAATGGAGGAGTAGGGATTGCAGCGTGACCATTCCCCCTGGGGGTGATTTCTCGCTTTCTGTCTCTCTGTCTCTCTGTCTGGCGAGTGCACGCACCCTATAGCGAAAAAACCTCTCCAAAAAATAAAAATAAATAAATAAATAAATAAATTATGGGGTATAACCACATCATAAAAATAAAATCACAAAATAGAATGAAGTTGATGTAGGTGTACAGAGATGAATGGTATTTATGATATTATTGTAAAATTATGTACTATATTGAATGTACCTTTCATATATGTAGCTATAACTATACCACATATCTGTTATGAACTGTATAATAATAATACTTTGCTTTGTTAAAAGTTATATATATTTACATAAATAAAATAACATTTTAGGTGATACATTCTACCTTATTAAATGTAATTCCTTTGGCAAATAAAATTTTTAAGAAATGGAATAAAAAAGATAAGTATGTTGCTGATACAAAAGTAAAAAAATAGACCAATGGAATTAACAGAGAGTTCATAAAAAGGTCACACATGTTGTGATGTCCTTTTATGAGAAAAATTACCATTATTCAGGACTGGGGGAAAGGACATTATTTTCAATATTAATGATAACAAAAATATTGGATATACATTTTTTAAAAACTTGATTTTTCAAAGTACAGTTTTTTGTAATAATCCCAAACTAGGAACAAATTAGATGCCTCTAATAATCTATGAATCTAATGAATAGATTCATAATTGTGGTACAGCAATAGAAATAAAGAAATAAAATGTGGTTCTCTCTCAATGTCTCTTTCTATATACACATGTATAAATTTTAAGAACATACTGTAGAGCAAAAATGTTAGTCACAAAATACAAACAAAACTACCATGTTTAAAAAAGAAAATTATGGGCCAGTAGGTGGTGTACCAGTTAAGGTGCTGGATCCCACATGGCCAACTTGGAGGTTTGAGTTACAGACCAAATGACTTGAAAAGGTTGCTGGGCATGTGTGTGTGCATGCCCAAAATCCTGATAGGCAAATGGAGGAGAAAGGAATAGCTTTAAGCTGTGATTTCTCACTTTCCTCTGTCTCTTTTTAGTCTTTCTCCGCTAAGTACATGCACTCTATGGCAAAAATCTAAATAATGATAATGATAATAATAGTAATAAAATAAATAAAAGAAAATTACATGGTAAAACTGTATTTTAAAGGCAATATAAAATTGTAATATTTTGATTGCTTGTATATTTGTTTTATATTAATAATAACTTAGCCATATATGTGGAATATATAGACTTTCTCTAAGTGTGTAATGTTGTATATAACAGTGGCTTATGGAAACATTTTACCCATCATATGACAGAAGGGTAAAACCATGTTTTCACAATCAAATCTCTGTAACTTTTTAATTTTGCTTAAGACAGTTATTTAACTCATCTAACAGAAAACATTAACACTAAGCTATTTCAGTAGTCTCTCTAGAACACTTCCGTAATAAGTGATATCACTTTATCCCTAATGGAAACTCATATCAGACTTTGATATATGGCAAATTGTCTCCAAATTTAATGGCTTAGGTTGGAAACAAAAATAACTGTCTTGTTTTTGGTTTTGGAAGTTTAGATGAGTGTTCTTTGTGGTATTGAGTGGGCGTGCTCATGTCCCTGTACTTAGCTAGTTATCTAAGCTGCTCTGCTCCTGAGGTTTGGTTCTGTTGCCTAGGGCAACAGAAGTGACTAGACAATATGTCTTTCATCATCCATTGGGTTTTTGGAAAAGTCATGATGTGTATTTCTATGCAAAAATGCATCATGAGTTTTCCAACAACCCAAGAACTTGTTCCATGATGGCTGGAAAGTGTTCCAATAAGGAGAACAAAGTTCCTTAAGGATTAGTCTCAGAATCAGTAACTGCTGGCAAGGCTGCTGGGGTAAAGAGAACTCTCCTACACTGTTGGTGGAAATGTAAATTAATCCAGCCACTGTGGAGAACAATATGGAGGTTTCTCAAGACCTACAAATAGAACTATCACATTATCTAGCAATTCCACTCCTGGGTTTCTACCCAAAGGATAAGAATACACTCATTTGGAAAAACACTTCCATATCCATGTTTGTTGCAGAATTATTCACAATTGCTAAGACGTGGAATAAACTCAAGTATTTAAAAACTGATTAATTGATTGCAAAAATGTGTGACATATATGCTATGGAATACTACTCAGCCAGAAAATACAACAATAATAAAAAATCCAAGATGCTGACATTTGATAGAAAGTGGCTACATATAGAAGATTTAATGCTTTAATGAAGCAGATTATGAATCAAGGCATTGTATGTCCCCACTTAATATATGCTGATGTCTGCATTCTATGGCAGGAACTGAAAGATCTGAAGATACAAAAATTTCTATGGCAGAAACTGAAACATTGGAAGGTATAAAAATTTGGTGATCAACTCTATATACTAGAGACAGTTTGGTTGAAGGTGAGAACTTGGAGAGTAGAAGGGAGAAATTAAGAGGAAAAAGGCAAAACATCGAACAGACACAAAACTGGAAAAATATCTGTGATGACAATGTGTATAGTAATATCTTTGACTGGACTAATGTACATTATATTCATGCTAGTAAAATTCATTTTGTATGCTATAAACATGTACAGTGATTAAATGTAAAAAAGTACATATATAAGAAAAGAAAAATAAAAGACACTATTTCATTTTTATCACATTCTATAGCCCAAATCAAGTTTCAAGGCCAGCCCAGATTCAAGAGGTAGAGAAACAAAATTCACCTTTCAGGGATAGGAGCCACGAGGTCATATTACAGGGAACATGAATATGAGAAAGTTTTGAATCAAGTTTGCAATTTGCTACTCTTAATTAAGATGACAACTTTTTTCTGTTTTATTTCTTCCCTTTCCCACTTCTCATAGTCCTTCTCTCCACCCTTCTGCTTCTGTTTTTTATCCCAAAAAAAAAAAAATTAGATTTCTGCATTATTCTTTTCTTACTTGAAAATTTATTGTAGAACTAAATCCCTCCAAATCGCTTCATATAAACCTATATAATTCTATTTAATGGGTTTACAATATTCAATAGTATGGATATACCATATCGTATTCAGCCATTTTGTTAATGTGCATATTTACTTTACTTCTATTTTTCATTACTTACTTCCATAAGCTAGGTTGATATTTTAAGTTTTTACTTTGTTATAGGGCTCACCAGAGAGAGACAGAGATAGAGAGAAAGAGAGGGAAAGTAAGAAATTACCTTCTGAGAGGATGACTACATAGCAATCCCTTCTCCTCCATTCTTCTCTCAGGATTTTGGGCAGGGATGCACATATGCCTGGCATGCTTTTCAAACCACAGGGTCTGGGACTCAAACTGCAGAGTCAACTATGTGGGATCCAGCTGTCTTAACTTGCACCATTTGCTGGCCCTAAGTAGAATTTTTAGTTATTTTATGGAATATTTGAAGTATATTTCAATAGGTATAATTTGCCACTATGGTTCTGTTTTTATAATGCATTGTTACCTTTGAATTAATAAACATAAAACTCAAAATTCTGTATATACACTTCAAGATTTTATACTCATCTGAACGCTATTCCTCTGGAACTAGGAGATTTACCTTTTGACTTGCTATACCTCTTTGTATTAGTCTCTTGGATTATATGGTAACTTTATCTGTGTGGGGTCCTAATCTCATTGCCAGGTTTCTAAAATTTTTTTATAGTAGGAATCATGGTTTATATTTCTTTGTATCCAGAGTGATAGGCTCATAGGAGACAATTGTTAAATGCTTATTAAATATATCATAAGTGACTAGAAGTTTGGAAAAAGAATTGCTTATTCTAATTGAAATGAGTAAGATATATTCCATGGGATAAATAGAATTTAACTTGAGTTTTACAGGGCTATTACTGCTAATTTTAGGATTTCAGGAAGAAGTTCTTTATTATTTTAAGATAAGTGTATATATTTTTAAGTTATTTTTAGGTACTGAATATTATTGTGACCAATGAGAGTATTAAAGACAAATATTAGAAAGCATATTCCATTAGTTATTTCCCCAAACAGCTATTTCTCAAATAATATTGATTATTTAGGGGCCAGATAGTGGCACAGTGGTAAGACTCAATATTCTGCTAGGCAATTTCACATGAGAAGTTTCCTGGTTGGAGTGTGGAAACTTCCCTGAGTATGCCAAGCATATGCTTGTCCATGGTTTGGGGCTGGCTGAAGGCTGAGTATCATAATAGCCTTAAGACTTGGTTGGCAGTACAGTCTCTCTCTCTCCTTTCACTCATGGAAGAAGTAAATAAATAGAAGATATATATTGACTATTTATATTCTGTGTTTGATTAGGTTTGAGTCATAAGGGTTTTTTTTGGAGCATATATATAATTCCTTTTGAAATGTACTATAATAAAGAACCTCTGTAAACAATTTTCTATAAGGAAATGGTAGATAGTACATAGAAAAAATTTACCCTTTATCGTTTGTTCTTAAGACTTAATTCAATTGCTCATTGCAAGAATTGCTATTAAAATTTTTTTAAAAGAATACACTGAATTATTTAATCATTTTTTCAGATGTCAGAATTCATATATTAAGTATGGGGGCAGAATTGTTTATTTCCAAAGAATTAACTTTAATTTTCAGCCTATTACCTAAGTCTCAAATATTATAAAACTACTCATTACCATTTATCCATCCATGACCAAGTTTATTTTGTCCATGAACTAGACAAAAATGAATTTTTGTCAATAATCAGAGAATTACACTTGATTAGAGTGGATAAACTCACAAGCAATAAGGACTCTCAGCAAAATTTCCTCAACCTGATTGAGTGTTGAGTACTCTTTTCATTTTAAATGCTAAAAATCCAATTTAATCCTGGTGAAATAAACAAATAAACAAAATTGTGGTACTTTACTGATACATAATTCAGTATAAATTTGCTGTTAGGCAGGGCTGGATTCATAATCAAAACAATCTCATTATAACTCTATCTCATTTCTCTAACACCATCTCTGTGTTTGTTTTTGGCTCCATCATAATCTCACCATCTTTCAGTCCAGCATATCATGGCTTCTTCTGGTTGGCCTCACCTATCTTATGGATATATAGATAGGCTTTCTCCTTGAGTTAGGAAATACATCTACCAGCTCTTCTCAGATTTCATCTTCACAGCTTGTGAGATAAAAGGAATAGATTGATTCTCCACCAGTGTCCATAGAGCAATTCTAAGGGAAGGGTCCTGATGAAACTGGCTTGGGTTGTATGTCCATGCTTTAAAGCAATCACTATGCTTAGTGTAAAGGCATCACCTACAAACAGAGACAAATAGTGTGCTTTAATTGACAATCCAAGCAGGGATATGTGACATGAAGAAAGTAGCCCTGAAATTAAAGAGAGGGCTAGTTAGATTCAGATATCTACAACACAGGTCTTCAAAAGTATGACAGATCTTCAAAATTATGACAAGTGGGGAGCCTGATGGTAAAAAGTAACACTCTGAGAGGCAATCCCACATGGGAGGTTCTCTGTTCAATGCTGGAGACCTCTGAGTATGTTGGAATAATTTTTCCCATGATGTGGGACTGGCTGAAAGCTTGGGTTGGATCATGGCTTCAGGACCCTGTTGAGGGTGCTGTCTCTCTTTGTCTCTGATGCTCTCCCTTTCTCTCTCTTTGTCACTCTCGCTCAAAGAATAAATAACCAAAAAAGTGGTAAGTGAAGGTCATACTCATGTTTTCAAAATAAAATGGAAACTTTCTAATTAACTCTCAGTCGCAATTAAACAAAACTGGCATTAGTTCCCCATTATCAGAAAATGGTCATTGTATGGATGGATAGACCACGTAATTCATCAGTGGGGGCTAAAAAATTGTAGGGTTCAAATTTTAAAGTCACCAAGAAAGGTGAAAGGATAATTTGTAAATGAGCAGATGAGGAACAGCTTTTATATCACAGTCGTAGAATAATGGCAGCTTAGAGCATGACCTTTATAAGACATTTCAGAATGGAGCAGTTTGACCAATGCAAGTGGGTATGAGTAACAGGAATGACTGTTAGCCTGGGCAGTATTATGAACACAGAAGAAGCGGGGTAAGGCAAGACCACCATAAGGTAAATACACTGCCTCAAAGTTTCTTTTTCCACAGGTTGGTCTCAAGATACTTTTAAATTCTAGAGGAAACAAAGAATGCTAAGTTTCCTTCTCACATCATCAACCAGTAGAAAAGCCACATACCAGAGTCTTGTGACAGGAAATGAAACATTGTGGCCTATTTCACAACTCTTTTACCACCAACCATTTACTTCTGCACTCCTGTACTTCCTTTTACTTTTTTCTTTATGAAGCTTTTCTGTATCTCTGCTTTTTCTCTTATTTTCTTTCCCTTTGTATTTATTCTTTTTAAAATCCTTATGCTCAGCTGTTTTTCATTTCCACATCACCTTTTTCTTATAAATCTCTCTCTCTAACTTTGATCTCACCAGTCCTAGGGTAACCTTTTATGAACCTAGGAAAATTTCATGTGTTTACCACACTAAAAATATATTAAAAGCCAACTATTTATTTAGTGTGTCTGTTATTCAAGGAAGAGTCACAATACCAGCAGTTTACAAGGAGTTAACTTGACTTGTGAATAGCCAATCAATAGATTATTTACTATGTGATCTATGTGATGTAGAAGCTAAAACAGGGGAGAATCCTCAGACTCTTTTTTCAATGACTATAGTCAAAAGAACAAAACACACTTACTATTTAATACAAAGTTAAATAAGGATATGTGAATTACGTCATACATAGAAGCAAGAGGGGAGAAAGCCTTCATACCAGGGTCTTGTGACGGGAAGCATGGTAATTGTTTTCAGTTGATTGATATAGATGACATCTATGGTGAAGTCTAATGAAATGAGGATTCCTGGGGGGATGGTATGGTCCATTTGATTTGGAATGATTTGATGTAGCAGGCAAAGTAGAAGTCTAAATAACCGGGAGGTTTTGGGACTTAATGATATCATTAATAGGGATAATAAACAAGGAGGGCAAAAGCTGGTTTGTTTGGTAGGGGAAATTGTTAAGCCTGAGATTATGGTGACATATCCAAACAACATATGCAAAAAATTATGAAAATCAATGTGTATGTAGAGAACAGAGGCAGGCCTAGAGTAATGAACAGCACGCCAGTAACATCTGTGAGTAAATGACACAGCTACTCACAGTACTCGCTTACATCCAGTCATTGCGTTGCAGTTGTGGTGTCATCCGCATAATCAGATCTTTAGGCTAGTTCTGGAATGAAGATGAAAGGACAAGTGTTGATAGTAATAGAGACTGACAACTTCTGCTGAGGGCTGCCTGTGAGTAACTCTTAAGTCACACAGAATATTGAGCAAAATTGACCTAATTGTTTTAAGTCCTTTTAGATAAAGAGATGTTTCAATATACTCCGGCAAACTACTCCATTATTTCACTAGCATTATCATCTGTCAGGTCTTTTCTCCATCAGGTAGGTTAATTCTCACCTTTTTCTTTTTGAGCGAGGTTTTTTGCTATAGAGCATGTGCACTCACTGGAGAGACAGTGAAAGAGATAGACAGAAAGTGAGCAATAACCTCCCCCAGGAGGGATGGCCTTGCCACCATCCCTTTTGCTCCACTCTCCTCTTGGGATATTGGGCATGCACACACACACACATGTTTGGTTTGGTTAAGCCACCAGGTCCAGGACTCAAACTGTGGTCAACTATGTGAAAGTTCTGTGACGTAACCATTATGTCATCTGCTGGTCCCAGGTCTCACTTTTTCAAACATTAGTGGGATATAATTACACACTTGAGTGTCAATCTACTTACCTCTTTTATCTGGGCCAAGGGAAGACACCTATTATCTGGTATGGAAGTAAAAGTCTCTGCAATTCCTTTTTTCCTATTCTCTCTGTCGAACAAATAAGACACTAGGTAAAAATTCACTGCCATGGGTGATGGATGTCATTGGCTAACATTCTTCTCATAGTGGGCATCCGGAAGCCAAAATAAAAAGGAAAGGAAAGGAAAGAAAAAAGTCATTGTTTGGTGGAATAAACCTCAAAACGACACAGATTTTAGAGGCGTGCATAAGCATGGGTGTTTATGTAACACATTATTGCATGGTCTGGGGGAAGGGAAAAGAAACATGGCAGAAACTTTCCTGCTGGCAGGAACTTTCCCACTTTCTGCATCTGGCGTGCCATCACCAGTGGACTTTCCTGCCCTTCAGCATTTGGTGTGCCAGGCAAAGGTGAGCAGAAACAGCGATCTTCATTGGCTAGTCAAGGACCCATGGCGAGCACCTATTGGACAATGGACCTTTAAGAATGAGCAGCACCCACCCTGGGTGTGACTTCTCTGGCCTCTGTTAAGACCACAGGATCTCACCCAAGAGCTTAAATGTGCTGGTTTATATTAAACCCCAAGGCCTGACTCTGGTATTTTTGCCTTAACCTCCTCTGACTCTGCCAGCAATCCCAAATCAAACCGAACAATTATCATGTAAGAACAATTTTTTTTCTCTTTGTAGAGTTTTATAATTGAGCTATAAAAAAAAATCATGCTATTCTAGAAATAGGCAACTCTGCCAAGTGCTCAAAAGTGTCATATTAACACTGTAACAAAGTTTGGGGCAATGGGAAAATGGTGGCAAATTCTCTCTCCCCAACTCCTACAAGAATTTTTAATATTCTCTGTAGAAACTCTTTTTAGATTATTTATATGTGTATTTCATGAGTGAGAGAAAGGAAGACCTCCAACAGGTATCATAGTCCATGTGTGCAGCAACTGAACTCCGATCTTCTGTGTCCTCTAGCCTTGCAGACTGTTGTTACCACTGTCATCACGGCTGGGCCTCTCTGTAGCAATTCTTATTTCTACCGAGCTACTTGCTAATAGCTAGTGATCAAGCTCCCTTTTTCACTATTGGGCCCTACTAACAGAGACTTTGAATGGGGAAAGTACTTTGGTGAGAGAAAAAATAAAATGTATTCTGTCTCCGATATAGCAATAAATAGCTTTTACAAGTGAGCAAATAATGAAACAAGACAACATAAAACAACTCCAAATATTATATATTATAACTCCAATTTTGGTGCCAGAAATGGTCTTCCTATAGAACATAAAAACACAAAGTCTTGTTTTTAAATTCTTCACTGAATTTAAAATGAATAAAATGCTCTGTTTCATTAAAATGTAGAAATTGTATTTAGCTTGAGAAGCCCTGTCCACAATGTGAGGGCCAGGAGAAAAGTAAGAGGAAATGGAGACTGTCTGAGAAAAGTTTCTGCAGATTATGTGGAAGTCACCACCCAAGACTCCACCTCCACTACAGTGTCAGAGAACTTAGCGTGCTTCAAACAAGGCCAGGTCTCTATTCTTACTTATAGAGAGAAGATGGCCTTCTAACCTTAATAAAGAAAATTCAGTCAAATATAACAAATAGGACTGAAGGTATATTTCTAAACTCACCTGGGATAATATAAATCATTAACTTCATTAACAAAACAGAATTTATAGCCAGTTTATGATAGCAATAAAGGTCTCAGGGATGTGAGTGGGTACACGGTCTTTACTTCTCAAAATTATTCTGTAAAATCTGTTTATTACTCAGAATGGAGATCAAGAACCTTTACAAAAATACTCCAAACCTCCCACATGCTTTATTGTACTAGTGAATGACGATCTTTTTCCTTACCCCTGTATCTGATTCTTAAGAGATGATTCTTCCCGAACTTCTGGGAGTTCTAGCCACTCATCCACCGTCAGTGTCAGCAAATTGACCGGGGATGGACACATCATCGACATTTTTTTAAATTAATTTATTTTTTATTATCATCATAATCTTGTTTATATTACATTGAATTGCATATAAATTTAGAGTGTATTACATTGCTTTTTCAAAAGGGAATGCCGTGCGTGTCAGTCGATACAGAGACATTAATCTTCCCACTTCATCATTCAATATCTTTTCATTGTTTTTCCCAATCATTATTATTATTATTCCAATTATTTTTTTAAACATCAATCACTATTTCTCATTTTTCCTGTAAAAAGACTTTCCCCATCATGAAATACTTCTCAGACCAATCCAGTTGAGAATACTATACATGTCATCATCAACAGGTAATAAGCCATATTTATTTCCCACTAACATCCTGCCTCTATTTGTTCTCTTGCTATCTTTCTCTATCCTCTTCCCTTCACCCCTCCCCCCCATTCCACACTGTCTTATTCTCATTAAGTACTTTCACTGTTTTCATGTCCTCCAATATTCGCTCTCTACCATAGAGTGCGGATAGTTGGTATATATTTGACCAATCAGAATTTCTTTTCTAGGAGACCAAGACGGACAAACTACTGAGCAAGATTACTGCAAGGATCAAACTGAAAGGTCAGAGAGACATGGCGGTAAGGTTTTCTTTTGGGGGCAGCTATGAGAAGCCAGTCTTCACAAAGAAGAAGGTAGGTGAGAGATGCAGGAAGGAGATACCACATTGCTCCAGCGGGACACAAATAGAACGAGCTGCACCAGGACTTTCCATAAAGTCTGGCTCAATTCGATTTTGTGCAATTGGATTCCATGATGTCCACTTTGAAATTCATTCCATGTCTATCTTTCTGTCTGTCTTCCTATATCTACCAATCCATCCCTCCTCCTTTTCTACCTATCTCTGTGTCTGTTAAAAATGCAAAAAAATTAAAATAACAAAAGGCTCTGCAAAAATATACCATTAAGTAAACTTTCCTCACTATTGACATCAGTGTATGATTAATAATTACCTTTGAAAGCAATTTGTAGGAGAGATGGGCTGATTTCTAAAGTATACCTGAGCATGAATGGTTGTCAGTTCCTCACAGGCAATTAAATGTGTTTTTCTTAGACTGAAAAACTCATGTTAAAATAAACCATTCAAACTCTTTAAATTTTTAAACATATCAAAAATATAAAATGTGAAATATGAGTGGATTTTCATATTTTTGAAATTGAATGGTCTCTAAAAATAGAAGTTCTTGGGGCTTATGACAGTCTTAACACATCCCTGGAGGTTTTTTTTTTTTTTTTGGAGAGGTTTTCGTTATAGGGCGCGTGTGCTCACCAGACAGACAGAGAGACAGAAAGCGAGAAATCACCCCCCAGAGGGGATGGCCATGCCACAATCCCTTCTCCTCCATTCTCCTCTCGGGAACTTGGGCACACATGCACACGCGCCCGGCGTGAGTTTTAAGCCACCGGGTCTGGGACACAAACCGCAGTCGACTACGTGGGAGTCCAGCGACATAGCCATTACGCTAACTGCTGATTCCCAAGGTTTTAAAGACTACTCAGCTGGTGTGGTATCACATGAAGAATGCTGGGCTTGAAACACTGCCCAGACTGTAAGCCCGTTTCTATTACACACTGGTCACAGAATTTAAGTAATTTTTCCCTAATTGTGCTTTTCCTTATCTTTAACTCCATAGGGTTGGGTAGGCTGTTAAAAGTCTCTTTCAGGTCACCAAATATATATATATATATTTTTTTTTTTTTTTTTTTTGGAGAGGTTTTTGCTATAGGGCGCGTGTGCTCGCCAGACAGACAGAGAGAGACAGAGAGATAGAAAGCGAGAAATCACCCCCCAGAGGGGATGGCCATGCCACAATCCCTTCTCCTCCATTCTCCTCTCGGGATCTTGGGCACGCACGCACACGTGCCCGGCGTGAGTTTAAGCCACCGGGTCCGGGATTCGAACCGTGGTCAACTACGTGGGAGTCCAGCGACATAGCCATTACGCTAACTGCTGGTCCCAAGGTCACCAAATATTTAATTTGATATATTTCCAATAAATTTCAGGGAAACTTTGCTGATTTTTGAATTGTTTTCCCAAACAGTAGGGCCTAGAGTCTATAGCCTGAACTCTTCCAAGAGGAAGAATTGAAATAAATAAAATTTTGGCCTGTTTGACTGAATCTGATTAAAATCAATGAATTTTGAAAATTATCATTGTCCTAGATACCCAAATAATCTCTCTTTACTGCTTCTAACTTCTAAATTGCACACTTTCATCTTATACCTAAATACACATGTACATTCAAACACACACATAAAAACAAGTCTTCTTACAACTGGTTCCCTTTGTGTGTTCTCTTCTTCATAAACACATTTTTTAATCTAGAAATCATATTGTAATCACATATTCATATCCTCAGAAGGAAACACTATAGACCTTCAATGGGTTTTGGTTATGGAACTCTAAGTCTTTCTTCTTCATTAGACAATAATTTCTTTCAAGGTTGGGAGAAATATACTTCTGTTTCATTAATTTTAACGTTTTCTTCAGGCTGGCTCTATAGCCTGGTGGTTAAGGGAGCTGGATCACACATGACTGATTGGAGGGTTGGAGTTCTGGGGGCTTGAGAAACACACTGGGTGCATGTGCATAGGGTTCATGTGCATGTGTGTCCCAAATCTTTTTTTTTTTTTTGGAGAGGATTTTTTTTTTTTTTTCGCTATAGGGCGCATGTGCTCGCCAGACAGAGAGAGAGAGACAGAGAGATAGAAAGCGAGAAATCACCCCCCAGAGGGGATGGACATGCCGCAATCCCTTCTCCTCCATTCTCCTCTCGGGATCTTGGGCATGCATGCATACGCACCTGGCGTGAGTTTTAAGCCACCGTGTCCTGGACGCGAACCGCGGTCGACTACGGGGGAGTCCAGCGACATAGCCATTACGCTAACTGCTGGTTCCCCATCCCAAATCTTGAAAGGAAGGAGAAACGGAAAAGGATTAGTGATATGACCACTAATGGGTGGGGTATGGACTATGAGACGTGTGTGGGTGCTTTCTCCTTTTTCTCTCTCTCCTCTCTCTTTCTCTGGTGAGTACACATGCCCTCTGGTAGGAAAAAAAATGTTTTCTTCAAAGA